ATACCTATACTTATATATATATATATATATATATATATATATATACATATACATAAATACATATATAAGTATAAGCTTGCGAGCTAATTAAGGAACGAAGTAACTAGCTCGGCAACTCCTTTCTAAAGATCGTTTTAATATAAATATAAAAAAATAAATGTAGTTTCACGGGTTGAATCTTTTTAACATATTGATATTTAATCTTGATTTTGATTATTAGAGGGAATTCTTGGTAATTTTACAAAGAAAAGGAAGATAATCTTGGAGATATTAACTAAGAGGTATCTGCTTCCTTCCCATAATATATATATGTATATATATATATATATATATATATATATATATATATATATATATACATATATACGTATATCTGCATAAAACGGTTGTTGGACTTCTCCCTTCGAGATTTCTCTTTTCTTTCTCTTTTGTTTCTTTTCTTTTTTTTTTTTTTTAGACATAAGTTATTATTTTAGAATTATTTTATTATATACAGCGAAAGGTATATCTTTTTTTTCAAACAAATTAACAGAACTTTTATATATATATATATATATATATATATATATATATACTTTACTTTTTATCTATGTGAGAAAGATAAAAAAAAAAAATTCGTAGACATTTCGATACTTGAAACGTTGAAAGATTTTTCCCACGGAAGAAGACAGAGAAAGATAAATATTCTTACTATCTATAACTTATGGCACCTCATTCCTTCACGTTTACATTTCGCCAGGATATTTATCTTTCCCTTTTTGTCTTTCTCTTTTTCTTTGTGATCTATATATCTATGCCTATTCTTAAACTATGCACGACCATGAGATTAGGTGCAATGATATTAGCAACGAGGCGCCACACATCGTAAGCTATACTTATATCTCGAGTAAGGCTGACTTCATAAAAAAAGAAAAATGAGAAAAAAAGTAGACAAGGAAAGAGAAAGAAATATCAATGTAGAAAATCTGCAATGTTTTGTAAGTTATATGATTTAAGTTGCATTCGTATAAATATTTATTTATCATACATTTATTTTAACTTGATATATAATATTTATAGTTTTTCTTTTGTTTTATATAGCAAATTATATAAATCAAATATTTTGAAATTGTAATATAGTAAATATTCTATCTATTATATAAAATAGTATTTTATATTATATAAAATAGTAAATTATTTTTATAATAATAATATAAAACTAAAAATATTATTAATATCTATGTAATATATAATACATGTATATATATATATATATATATATATATATATATATATATTATATTTTACATTTAACATAAATAGTTTTAGTTTTGTTGTTAATATAGCAAAAACTATATTCCTTCTTTTTTAAATTAATTTTTTATTTTTGTTTTTGTTTTATAATACATATGTATTATAGAGTTTCACGAAAGTTATTACTTATTTTGAAAAATAATGGGAATGAAGAAAAACAGGTTTTTATGAGATGAAGAATCTATTTATTTCAAAACAAGTGTCGTAAAAAATTAATGATATCTAACATATGTATCTGTTTTCACATGATGACCATCATATTTCATGTCTACAGGTATCAAAAGCAATAAATTCTTTTCGATATATTAGATCTCCCATAAGTCGATAATAGCAAATCTAGTTCAAATGTTTTTCGTATTAATACGATTCTTTTAATAAATTTTTTTCTTTAAACGTCCATTTCTATTTAGCTGTCATCATGCACAGATTCGATTCATTGAAATTTCTTTAATTATTTATCAATAGCCTTGTCTCTTTCGGACTTTTTTTTTCTTTTTTTCTAATGAAATTTCCCTTAAAAATGTTCTCAAATTTTCTCGCATTTCGTATCTTTTATCTTGCACGTTATTACAAAAATTCGTTCATCCAAGTTTAGCAAAAAGCAAAATTCGATGTCACTGATATAGATAATGATTTTTGAAACATCCTGTATTTGAAACTTGATATATTCACGTTATTGGAAAGCAATCCTCATTACGTTTGATTAAGACAAAAATATGAAAAATCATGAAAAAGGAGAGATAAATCGTTTCTTATTGGCATATTTAACCATTAGATTGGATCGTTTCCATTAATTCGCATAATTCATAGTTACAACGTTCCGACTTGCCCGTATTTCGTATCTATCGTAGAATAGATAAAAATATGTAGTAGGAAACGTTTGCGTTGCGGCTAGCCAGGAAAGTGTTTGCTCCATGCAGTTTGACCTATCTGTCGTCATTTCGCTTCACCGCGATTTCAACGTCCTAGAGAAAGGGCACTTCTTATCCAGCTTCGAAAAGACTTTGGGAACTTATATTTATGTACATTAGCATAATTTAGTATGCATACATGTATCATAAACAACACATTGTAGATCTTACGATAATCTGATATTGAACGCCAAGAGAATGTCCTTTGAATTGATTTTCTTTTGATGGAGAAGTTTTTTCTTTTAATTTTCTTTTTTTTTTTTTTTTTTTTTATATATATATATATATATTTAACTTGTTCTTTTTAACACTGTTAATTTTCGTCTGATCTAGATTATTATTGATCTAGCACCTTAAGAATCTATTATTCATTTTTTATAACATTTATATTACATGCATTTCATTTGAATGTAAAACATTTGATTTAGTTATTTATACTTCGTTAAATTTTATTTCATTTTATTGGCACAAAATTCATCGTCAATTCGTATCTGAAGTTTTACGCACATTTTGTTTTTTATATGACAAATTGTTTTCTTAGAATAATATCATTATTGTATTAATTAAATGTTATATTATAAATTTTACATTATATAATCTCTTTATTGTATAATGTGAAATTTTAATATTATTTATTTGTATATATTTAGAATAATATAATGTTATACTAGTGTTAGTTATATTATTATTTTTATATAGAGTATATAATATTTTTTATAGAGACGATAAAAAATTGAATTATACATCGAATATTAGAAAACTTTTGGGATAAAATAAATAAATTAGAAAATATTCTTACGAATGTTTCTTCTGATTTTTAAGTATTAACTCCTTTAAATATATTCGAGAATTGATACGAGATTTGCATCGACTTATAAAAAAAAAAGAAAAAAGAAAAGAAAAAAAAAGAAGAAAAGTAACAGAAAAAGAAATCGAAAAAATATTTAGAAGTCGTTTAGATATGTCTACGTTTTATCGGAACTTTTTTTTTTTTTAAAAGAGCGAAGAGAAACTAAGAATTGATATATACTCAAGCAAAAATCAAGTTTGATTTGATGATCCACTTTGGTAGTTATCATTTAAATTTTTTCGTTTTTTATCATTAAATCTTCTCATTTATTATTAAATTTTATCATTAAATCTTTTTTCGTTCGTTCCTTCCTTTTTTACGTTTTATTTTTAGAAATACTTTACTGCAATACTTTTATATCGTCTTCCCTTTCGAATCTCTATCGTGCTTTTCTTTTTCACTATCCTACTTATTAGTTTCTGGTTTATCTTCCGCCCTTTTTCTCTTTTCAATGATCGGAGAAAAAATGAGATAGAGAGAGAAAGAGAAAAGGAGAGAGAAAGAGAGAAAGAGAGAGAGAGAAAGAGAGAAAAATGATACTTCTTCAGCGAGAATCGAGTTAGAATCATTTCAATTTTCACTTTACCGTCTCTCTCTCTCTCTCTCTCTCTCTCATACACACTCTCTTTATTTTTCTTTATCTCTCTTTCTCTCTTTCTCTCAGTTTACATCTCCTGCTATCGTCTTAGCCTTTCCTTTCCTTTCGACGCAAGAGCTTTCTGACTTTCACGTCCTTCGAGAAAAATTACCCTCACATTGTTGCCCTGAGTCACGAACGAACGAATGCTGATTCACAGCTCGTACCGTGTGAAATTTGACGAGAAACGTTTAAAGATAACGGATCTGTAACGAGATTTTTTTTTTATTTTCATTTGGTACGTCTATCAGAGATAACGAAAAATCTCTCATGTTCGGGATACATTAATTGTATTTCTTAATTGTTATACATATTTTTTCTTTCTTTCTTTCTTTCATTCTTTCTTTTTTCGTTTTTCTTTTCCATCGAATATTATTGTATAGTTTTTAATAATTCTATCGAATATGTATTTTTCTTTCTGCTGAGGATATTTTCAATTTGATTTTATTTTGTAACTATACCGATTATTATAGATCTCATATTCGATATCGTTTTACACTCAACTTAATGTCATTTACTCCCTATTGTATATATGATATATATATATATATGTGTGTGTGTGTGTGTGTGTGTGTGTGTGCGCATGCGTGTACGTGTGTATATGTGTACATAGATATACCTAATTCATAAACAATGAAAAGATATCATTTTATTAACAAGCATACCTTCTAATTGAGAGAAACTTGCAAATTTATGGAATTCAATATTCGAATTTTTTTGAGTACATAAAAACTTTCAATTTTTTGCGATGGCCAATGTGTTAAATGATAAAGAAATTTTTCAAAATACGATAATGAAAAGAGACAGAAATAAATTTGTGAATAATACCTGATCTTTTACATTATCGGTTCTACTTCATTGTTTACAATTTTATTCTTTACTTTCATTTTCTTTAAACGCGTGCTTTTTCGATGAATTTTGAAGCAAGAATAAAATTATATAAAACGTATAGAATATAAAGTAAAACTCGATGGTACTTCGATCGTTATCTAATCGTTAATTCTGCGGAGATTATGCGATTGATCGAAATCTTTCTTTAAGATACAATTTATGTGTTTTACCTTGTAAAAATGCATAAAATATTGATAGTTTATTTTATTATTAAATATAAATTCCCAATATTTTGATAAAAGTATCTATACATTAAATATTTAATATATGAATATTTTTATGTACGTATAAAAATATATGTTTAGAATTTTTATCAAAATTTTTTCCACAACTAATTTCGCAATATAATTTTGAAATGATTATTTGTCAGATATATCAATAATTTTATAATAAATTTTTAATATCATGATCTCCGCAGTATTATAAATAAATTTGATAAAATTTTCATTGATTAAAATTAAAAACTAAAGCACTACGATGCGATTTAATCTCTGTCTGATAGCATCTTTTTCTTCTTTCGATACATAAGGATTCGTCAATGGATCTGAATTTAATCTGAAATAAAAGAAAAAAACAGAATAATGTTTATTATATACGTCATATTAAAAATTATACAATAAGAAGAAAATAATGTTTATATTATGCTATAACGTGATAAATACGTAATCATAAGAAAGATAAAAAAATGATTGAATTGAAAGAAAAAAGGAGAGAAAATAAAATAAATAGAAAGTCAACGTAACTCGATTATCGTTTCGATGTCTTGTAAATTTACAATACTCGTTTCTTTCTCTCAATGACTTAATTAATTAATTACCTGTAATATTGTGGCGCTAAAGCACAATTCACGTTGTACCACCAATCACAAGCAAAGTCTTGCTGATTAAAAAGTGTCCCATTAGTGCAAAGAAACGAGGCACCTTGCTGACCTTCTCTGCCATCGTGACATATGTGATACGCCTGAAAAATAAAGAAATTGAAATGTCGAATAATGATAGGATAAGTATTGTTTATAAGTACGTAATTTAAGAAAAAAAAAAAAAAAGAAATTTTTTTTTATTAACAATTATTATAAATAAATAACTAATATATTAAGGTATATTTAATTATAACTATTAAGTTATAATTAAGATTAAAAGTGCATAATTAAAAAAAAATTGTATTATTTATAATAAGAGTAATTAGAGGAAGATTGTACTTATGATTAGAAGTGTATAATTGAACAAATTTTTCAATTACGATTATTTTTCAATAATGATTAGAATAATTAGAAAAAAAAAATAAAGTTTATTTCGTACGAGTAGGAAGCTCAAAATGGAAATGAAAAATTTTTAAGTAAAATGAAATAAAATAAGATAAAATAAAATAAAATAAAATTTAATTAAAAGATTTTATATATGTTTGTGTGTGTATGTGTGTGTATGTATGTATGTATGTATGTATGTGTATAAAATCTTTTAGAAAATTCATTTAGAAAAATGAGAATATATATAATTGTCTTTTTTAACAATAGAAAGAAAAGCGTATAAAAATGGTGACATACGTAATATTATTTCAAAGAATCTTAGTGAGGAGTCTTGAGAAAAGTAAACGAGGAGAGAAAACTAGTGACATTCTTCGCGAAGAAAGTTTGCGACGTCGCGGAAAGTAAAATCGCGATGCATGACCGTAAAATACATACATGCATTTCAACGTACATTTGAATCATGTTAGAGTTATAACATAGTGTTTTATAAAAATTTATCGTAAAATAAAAGAGAGAGAGAGAGAGAGAGAGAGAGAGAAAGAGAGATCAATTCGAACTATTACTTATATATCAATGGATTATTTATGTCATTTTTGAAATTTTATTAAGCCTTGGCGAAATATGTTTGAATATTAAAAATGAATTTTTTCGTTAATGATTGAGACAATTAAAAATGAAGCAATAAATGAATAAAAAAAAAAAAAAAAAAAAAAAAAATTACGAAGGAACAAATAATTTTACACGAGGAAAAGAAAAAAGATAGGAAAAAAATTTGTCACTTTTTGATCGATATCTTCATTTTTTTTTTGAAATCCTCTTGCCTGATATTTAGTTGAGCGTTAACATTTCAATTGAAATAATTACAAAAAAAATCAAAGAGGAGAAGTTTTTGAGAAAAGAAAAAAAGAAAGAAATAGAAGAGAAGTTTTCTTTAAATAAGAATAAGTGAAGAAATGTTATTTTTTAAATGAAAACAAAAAAAAAATGAAAAAAAAAAGGAAAAGGAAATTGGATACATTCTCAAAGGTATTACGTATAAAAATGATTTCTCAAGTAACATATATAATCGTTAAAAGTATAACGTCCGTGTCATGTTGTAAGTCGTAAGTCACATCGAAGAGAATTTCCTGGGTCCTTCATTAACTGAATTAACATCGAGGATTGTTATCCCACTATAAGAAATAAGCTACACCCTAAAATACTGTTGCCTCATAATTACACGCTCTGTTTATTCGATTATTCTCTGAGTTCACGATGCAATAACAACGAGAAGGGATAAGAATTTCGGTGCAAGCCATGAATTGGAAAGTAATTTTGAGAGGTCTCTAACGTTGTCGATAAATATCGCGAAAGTTATTTACCCTTTGGGCAAATATTTTTTTTTCTCCTTTTTTTATTTTTCTTTTTTTTTTTATTTTTTTACTTTCTTTTCGATCGATACCAATGTGAGATAACGTTCTTCATCTTTCTTTCTTCTCTTTTCTTTTTTCTTCTTCTTTTAAGTTTATTATTAAAGACTAGCTGTCGAAAGTTCTTCGATCGGCGGACAATAAAAGAGAGATATACTTTCCCTGAAAGAGAATTGCATAACAAAACTCGACGCAATATTGTGGATTCGTATCAGCGTCGAATGTAGAAATTACATTTTTTTTTTCAAAAGGTTCCATCTAATATTTTTTATTTTCTCATTGTTGCTGAAGGAATAACAGAAAGAAATACAAAAATATCTATCGCATTAATGTCCAATGATATCAATGAAAATCGTTCATTTTTTGATAAATTGAAAAAAAGAAAAGAAAAGATAAGAAAAGAAAAGAAAAAAAGAAAAAGGAAAATAATTGTAAGTAATAATTTGTCAGTAATTTTCTTAAAACGCCGTGAATAGCAAACATAGAGAGATAAAAAAAAATCGTTCACGTACGATCGTAATAAATAATTTATCACAGCACTGTGTGTGTGTGTGTTTCCGCCGGAAGTTTCTGATGTTGCCTTGAAGCTTGTATAATTCTTCTTAGCCGTTCTCTCTCGCAAAATAAAACGTTTTGTCCTTTTTTTTTTTTTTTTTCGCACGATCCTTTCTCACATTCGAGACCTTTCATGTAACAATTATTCGAAACTTTTTTTTTCCTTTCAATTTAAATGAACAATTAAATAAACATTAATTTTTTGAATATGAAATATGAATTAATATTATGACAGAAAAAAAAAATGGGAGTGAATTTACGAGAAATATACGAAATAAAGTGAAAAGAAATCTTTTAGAAAAATAACGTGTCTTCGAAATTGTATGACTTCACGTACAAGAATTGAAATATCTTGTTTATTTTTTTTTTTGTAACGAAATGAAATGAAAAATATTATTGATTATGGATATCAAATGTGCTTCAATAAAAAAACAACAAGAAAATAAATAAATAAATAAGTAAAAATATTTTTAAACGAGCAAAGAATTATACGAGTTATCTATTGAATAGAACATTATAATCAAGTAATTCGAATGCAATTAAAGATTTCTTAATTAACATTCTCCCGTTTTTCGACCTATTGCGATATCTCAGTAATTTTCTTCGTTAAATTACCAAGGTAATTACCAATTCGTAACTTCTCGAAGTTCCTGCTTCACATATAGAAATAGATGAAAATTTGTCAATTAAATATAATAATATAAGATATATAATCGTATACGCGATCTTATATTTGCCAGATCAATCTTAGATCAATGTTAGAGTACGTAGAGATCTCGAAGATAATACGCGTTAAAAAGTAATAGTGTATAGTTTAAGATATTCGCATGGTATGGACTTTCATTGACGAAGTCCTTGATGCAGGACGTCCTTTCCAGTTTATTAATGTTGGAAAATTCAATCTCTAAGCTCGCGGAAGGATTGCAACATGGTTGAAATATTTCAAACGTTCAGGCGAACGCTCTCTTTTTACATTCTTATAACGAAATTAGTGATTGTATTTTTGAATCTATAGAAAAAAATATTTTTATACAAATTACTTTGAATAGTTATAACTTTAAAAATTTTTATGATTACGATTTTCGTTGTTTCCTAATGTTTTTTTTTCTCTCTTCATTCGTTTCATGCTTTTTAATTTACAATTGACAGTAGTAATTAAAAATTTTGTTTAGTGACAAAATCACGTTTAAAATTTGTGCGAACACAGTTGTTCGATTATTTCTTATATTTTTTATTATTATCATCTTTTCATATATTTTGTTTTTTCTTTTTTTTTTTTTTCTTTTATTCTTCTTATATTTTAAAACAAAGAAAAAACAAAAATCGTTGGACAGACTAAAAGTTGCTATGCGGAATAAGTATAGTTTTTATTGGTAAAAAAAAAGATAATTCGTAAAGTCATATAATGGTTGATTTACCTGACAACCAGTCTCTACATTCGCGTACATTCCTGGTACATGGGGTACATAAGCACAAGAAAAACTGGTCTTTGGAACGCTGTGATAAATCGGATAGTCCACTCCAGGAATACCGGGTATTTTACTGAGATCTTGTTGATCCTTCTTCGGGAATTCTGGAACTACGATTGGCCTTTGGAACTTCACCACAGGCTGGAAATTCTGATAGCCATCATCGTAATAGTCGAAATTCGCTGCACGTTTCTATGAAAAAAATATCTTCATCATCATCATCATCATCATCATCATCATCATCGATAACAGTAACCCACATAAATCGTTCAATGTAAGATTTAATTATTTTCTTTACTCGTTCTAAAGAATCTCCATTAACAAAAAAAAAAAAAAAAAAAAAAAGAAAAAAAGAAAAAAGAAAAAAGAAAAAAAAATAATAATAATAAAAATAAAGAAAAGAATTAGTGTCTTGTCAAGAAATGCGACAGAGATAGATAATTCTTAGCTCTCATTAAGCCCAAGGTAAGGTCGTTTTTCGTTATAATTGTCATCGATATTTTATCTTGTCGATTCGAACGATTAAGTTTGATCTGGGTATACTATAATATCTGTGAAATTATAAGACGATGATAAATGACCTGCAAGTACTATGCTTTCACAATTATCATCATCATTATCATCATCATCATTATTATTATTATTACTTTTTTTCTTCTTTCACATTCAAAGAAGGAGATAGAAAAAAAGAAGGAAAAGAAAGAAAATTCATAGAAGAACGTCGACGTAAAAAAGATGTCCTGCAAAAGGACCAATTATAGTTGTTCGTGAAATACGAATTTCATGCGAATTATACTCATTAGCCTCTCACCGGATGGTTTCTTCGCGATCATAAATATATTTTCATGGAATGCAACAGCGGTTTTTACGTTCACTGTGACTGTGCAATTTTACTTGTTGAACTGTATGATGGGACAACAACAACAAGGATGGTTAGATGAATTAGGCCTTTTTCTTTCTTTCTTTCTCTTTTTTTCCTTCTATTTCTTCTTTCTTGTCTTACTATTATCTTTTTTTTGTTTTTTTTTAGTTTTTTGTATTATTTACCTGCTGAACGATGCCGCTAGTAACGATGACTACCGCGAGGGTGGCGAAAAGAAGAGTAGCAAGGACACCGTGACTACTTGGCATGTCCGCACCGGGTTTGATGATAAACGAAACTAGTCCAGCTTCCGTTGAACCGCGAGAGAGAACAGTTTGCCAGGTGTGTAAGAAATTATGTCACAGTTTGAGGGAGAGAAAGTCTGTCTGTTCTGTAACACGAGTTCAGAAACGTACTCCTTCCCTTCTATATCCATTTTATCCCCTTCTCCCTATACTTCTTTATATACCTGTGTATGTAGGTATATGTATATAAACGTATGTATGTAGTAGAAACCAACGTAAAATAATTCAAACAGGGCCGCAACTAATACTTCGTTCTTCTTACTTTATTTTATTTCGTATTATTTATTTGTAACTATTTAATCGTTGTGTTAAATTATCGATCGAATTATTGAAATTAGGTCAGATTTTTTTGATTCACAAAAAAGAAAAAAGAAATTATTTCGAAATTTGATTACTCGTTTTGTATTCTTTTTTTCTTTTTTCCTTTTTAGAGATTAGAATTTCGTTATTCTATTTTCTTTTTTCCTTTAGAAATAGGATCGTGCCTGAAGTTCTCCTGCCAACGCTGTTAAATATTATAATGCAATTCTAACGTAATAGTTTGAGCGAAAAAGATATAATTTCATAGCATTCTCTACCAATGTAATGCGGATATTTAGAGAGCTTAGGACCTGTTATTCCGACACTCGCCGCTACATAATCAAAATGGTGTAGTTGGGAGAAATATTACAGTATAGTAAGTTAATTCGCGAGGTTAATCATCTAGTTTTTTTTCATACATTTTTTTTTGTTTGATTTACAATAATAATAAAGAGAATGTTTAAATTTTACTTTTTGACTAAGGTAAATAAAAAAGAACGTTAGTTTTATATTACTATACATTTTGTAGAATAAATTATTTTATTCGAAAAAATTGAACATTACTATATTTGATAATAAACAGGCATATTTGATTTTTTTTTTATTTAGTATCGTAATATATATATATGCTTGGAATTTTAAATACACCTTAAATTGATCCAATATTATGCAAGACTGTATTTCGTAAAATCATTCTACAGGATCGCTAAATGGATAATAGAGAAATCTGTTATACCGATTTTAGATAATTAATTATTTTTTTAAATGAAATATTTTAAGAAATTTTTTAAAGAAATTATATTGATCAGTGTGCTAATGTTTCTTAGAATTTATATATGATAGTAATATTCTAAACTATACACTAGTCTTCTTATTTCGGATGCTGATGAATCTATCCCTCGATGACCTATACTGAAAACTATAAAAGAAAAAGATAAAGAGGAAATAAAAGAACAAAAAAATATATAAAACAAAATAATATATATATATATATTATTTATATATATACATATATAAAATACAAATAGAAAATAAATATAATAGAAAATAAATAAAATGGAAAATAACTATATATAAATAGATAAGAGACCTAGAGAAAGAAACGAAAAGAGAAGCAGCATGCACCATCTCATGGGTCCTATCTAAAGCTTATAAATCATAATTAATAAAAATATATTAAAAACATAATTAAACACATAATTAAACATATAATTAAACACATAATTAAAAAAAAACATTATAAATAAATATTAAGGAAACATAATTGAAAAAGAAAAATATGAGATAGAAAAGTGAGCCGGAGAAAGAAAAGAGAGCCCCAGAAAGAAAAGAAAATGGAAGCACTTCTACACGATGCTGATACAGCTGCCCGTACAAAGGCCCATACCCATGGGTCCCTCCCATGGATCCTACCCGAAATACACAAAGGATATTGGAAAGGATACAAAAGGATATTGGGAAAGTAATACAATATGCAGCCATTCGCTCGATAATACTTGGATTTAAAAATTTACAATTAATCTTTCCAAGTATTATCGACCCAGGTCTCACTACGTGGAAGTTGCTGCATGTGGAGACCCACGAGCTAACGGTGACTCTACTTTACTCTAAAATCCGCGTTCCGCGATACCGATCCCTTATGCCTTCCGCTTCGGATATCTTGGGCATGGGACAAAGCTAACAGGAAGTATCTAGCCTTAGCTAGAGGGACTCCGCTTACAGAAAGCTTAACCGTTCAACACCCTCCGCCTCAGGCATAACGAATTATTAAGCACATCTAAATTCGTGCATCCGAATTTCGAACAATCAAAGCGTATTAATCGCGTTCGCGACACTCACGTGTGTTATAATTACGTAGATTCTACTGTTCTATCCAAATTCGCGTAGTAATCTAATCGATATGTCGAAGAAATCAAACGAAATCCTCGGTAGGACTTCCAATCGCGCATGCGAACTCTTACGTGAGTGTTAGAATAACGGTGACTCTAAGTTGAAATCCGAAGCGCACTCCAAATTTCAACACTAAAACGAAGTCCATGATAGGACTTTTAATCGCGCGCGGACACCCACGCAAGTGTTCGGAAAACGGTGACTCTACTCTAAATAAACTAATCGAATATTCGAGCAAACAAAACGAAGTCCCCGGTAGGACTTTTAATCGCGCACGCGAACACTCACGTGAGTGTTAGAATAACGGTGACTCTAAGTTGAAATCCAAAGTGACATATGCTAACCGGTATTTAGACTTTCCATGATATTTGTCGGGATTTCCGCCCCGCTACCAAATATGAGGATTGTCATAACATCAGCCAGCTATGTACAGCACTACAAGGTAAACCGTTCGCGCACCCCGAATTTCAACACTAAACGAAGTCCATGATAGGACTTTTAATCGCGCCCGGACACCCACGCAAGTGTTCGGAAAACGGTGACTCTACTCGAAAAAAACGCGTTCGCGAGGTAATCTAATCGAATATTCGAGCAAATATAAACGAAGTCCCCGGTAGGACTTTTAAGTCGCGCCCGCGTTCATTCACGTGAGTTTTAGAAAAATGGTGACTCTACTCTAAATTCGCGTTTACGATACGAGCAATCAAACGAAGTTCAATCGCGCCCGCGAACACCCACACCTGTGCTTGCCGTCACACGTGCGAGTGTTCTCCTATCCTGCCCGTATTCGCGTGTAAAGATCGATGATGAATCCAGCCTTGCTACGATGACGCATTCGACCAGAGGTGAACCTATGCCTCGATGATCTATCCTGAAAAAAAAAGAAGATAAGGAAAAAATAATAAAAAGAAGAGAAAAGACATATTGAATATCGCTGCATGATTGCTCGATCATCCCTGAAAAAGAAAAAAGAAGATGAATAAGAGAAAGAGAAAAAATATATAAAATAGAAAATAAATACGTATAAATAGTAATGAGTGCTGGAGAAAGAAAGAGCTCTGTACGATGCTGAAACAGCTGCCCGTATCATCTCATGGGTCCTATCTAAAATATATAAATCATAATTAATAAGAATATATTAATATACATAATTAAAACGTAATTAAAGAAATAATTAAAAAGAAACAACTTAAATAAATATTAAGAAAACGTAATTGAAAAGAAATAACTTATTAATAACATAACTGAAAACATAATTAAAAAAAGAAAAATATGAGATAGAAAGGAGAAAAAAAGAAATGCAGTTCTATACGATCCTGAGACAGCAGTCCGCCCCTTCTCATGTGTCCTACCTAAAATTTATAAATCATAATTAATAAGAATATATTAATAACATAATTAAAATATGATTAAACACATAATTAAACACATAATTAAACACATAAATAAACACAAATAAACACATAATTAAACACATAATTAAACACATAATTAAACACATAATTAAACACATAATTAAACACATAATTAAACATATAATTAAAAACATAATTAAAAAGAAACAACATAAATAAATATTAAGAAAACATAATTAAAAAGAAATAACATAATAATAACATAACTGAAAACATAATTAAAAAAGAAAAATATGAAATAGAAAAGAGAAAAAAAGAGATGTATTTCTATACGATGCTGAGACAGCAACCCGCACAGAGGCACACCCCCATGGCCCATCCCATGGGTCCCACCCGAGACTATAAATCATAATTCATAAGAGTATATTAATAAGATAGAAAATAAAAACAAGAAAAATATAACTTAAAAAAGGGAGTCGCAGAAGATAAGAGAATAGAAGCAGCTCTACATGATGCTGAGATAGCAACCCGCACAAAGGCCCTCACCCATGCGCCCCTCCCATGGGTCCCACCCGATACTTATAAATCATTATTAATAAGAGCAAATAACAATGTAAAATATGAGATAGAAAAGAGAGCTCTAGAAAGAGAAGAAAAGTGAAGCAGCTTTATAAGATGTTGAGACAGCAAACCGCACGGAGGACCACCCCCATGGGCTCCTCCCATGGATCCCACCCGAGATATATAAAAGATAATTAATGATAGTATATAAGAAAAAATAGAAATGACACCGGACATTGAAGTGTGAAAAAAAAATTTCCTTTTGTCTAAAAAATTATTGTACAATAGAATTCTGCCATATTTCTTCTTTTGAAGTATTATTAACGATATAAAGTCGAAAAATATTAATGTTCAGTTGGAATTAGATTAAAAAGATATTGGAAAAGTAAAAAAATATGCAGCCATTCGTTCGGTAATACTTGCATTTAAAAATTTACAATTAAACTTTGCAAGTATTAACGATCCAGGTCTCACTACGTGGAAGTTGCTGCATGTGGAGACCCACGGATTAACGGTGACTCTACTCTAAAATCCGCGTTCCACGATACCGATCCGCTATACCTTTCCGCTTCAATGCACTGGCTTCTTAACTAACAGGGTATGCGTAGCTTAGCTACTACACACCTCTTACAGATAGCTCCACCATTTGCACCGTCCACTTCAGACATAACGGATTATTAAGCACATTCGAATTTGTGCTTTCCGAATTTCAAACAATCAAAGCGCACTCCTTAGAAATACTAATCGCGTCGCGACACTCACGTGTGTGTTATAATTACGTAGATTCTACTGTTAAGCCGAAATTCGCGAAGTACCCCCATCGAAATTTTGAAGAAATCAAACGAAGTCCACGGTAGGACCTTTAATCGCGCCCGAACACCCACGCGAGTGTTAGAAAAACGATGACTCTACTCTACAATTCGCGTTTTCGATTCGAACAATCAAACGAAGATTAATCGCGCCCGAGAACACCCACGCCTGTGCCCGCCGACACGCGCGCC